GCAGATGGCGAGGTGTTCTTACTACGTCCTCCCCCCAGTGTCAGACCTCTTCGATCCACTGCCCCGACCCCAACCCAACCTCAATGCACTTCGCCTCATGGTGTGGTTGGTTGTTTCACTGGGGTAGGAGGCCACTCCGTACAACAGGTCATTACGGCAGCTAGGAAACCCTCGACTAGGGCATCCTATGCTTGCAAGATGGCTTGTTTTTCTTCCTGGGCTGAGGACAAGGGGATAAACCCTTTAACCTGTTCTCTGGCCTATGTTTTGGAGTTTCTCCTTTTTCTAAAGGGTAAGGGCCTGTCCAACTCCTCCTTGAAGGTATATCTGGCAGCGATTGCCGCGTATCATGACAAGGTGGACAGTCTATCTGTTTTGGCAGGTATGGAGTCTAAACGATTTCTAAAAAGTTTAGCTAATTTATATCCTCCGTCGGTACCCCCTGTACCCCAGTGGAGTTTGTCGTTAGTGTTGGCACAGATTGTTCATAAACCGTTTGAACCTCTTGGTGCCTGTGACTTGTCGTTTCTTTCTTACAAGGTTGCTTTTCTAGTAGCCATAACCTCGGCTAGAAGGATGGGAGAGTTGGCTGCTTTGTCCTCCCAACCTCCGTTCCTTAAGATCTACTCGGATCAAGTGGTGCTTCGCTCTTGTTTAGAATTTTTACCTAAAGTGGTTTCTAAGTTTCATTTGGGTCAGGATATCACGTTGCCAGTGTTCTTCCCCTCACCCACTTCCCGTTCAGAACAGGTCATGCATTCCTTAGACGTACGCCAGGCAATGTTGTTTTATTTAGATAGAACAAAATGTTTTAGGAAAGACACATCTTTATTTGTCTGTTTCCATGGACCCAGGAAAGGTAGGAAAGAGTCTTCCCAGACCATATCCCACTGGATTTCTGCAGCAATTACCCAGGCTTATAAATCAGCCAATATTCACTGTCCATTGCCAGTGTGGGCTCACTCTACCTGGGCACAGGCGTCTTCTGCTGCCTTTTGTGCAGGTCTTCTCCTTGCAGACATTTGCCAAGCAGTGACCTGGTCCACACCGTCGACGTTAGTGAAGCACTATGCCATGGACGTTGATTCGAGGAAGGAAGCTTCTGTGGGGAAAGCGGTGTTGCAATTAATCTTCTGTCGAGACATCCCACACCCTCCTCCTCAGTAACTACGCTTGCTAATCTCCTATGTGGGACTGCACAGAAGCCACGCTGATGAAAATGGAGGTTGCACTTACCTGTAACCGTTGTTCATCGAGTGGTCGTCTGTTCAGGCACACATCCCTCCCTCCTTCCCCGCTGTGGGTGTCTCTACCAAGGGCGGCTGGAGGAGAACTGAGGGGAGAGTGCTAGCTCCTCCTGTATCACGTGACTTTGGGGGGGAAGGGCCACTGTTGCTATGGGAAGACTAGCACACTTGGGTAATTAAGAGATGTTTTTAAAGTTTGCTAGCTCCTCCTGGTGGCTGGCCTGCGTAAGTGCAGACCCATGTGTGCCTGCACAGAAGACCACTCGATGAACAACGATTACAGGTAAGTGCAGCCTCCGTTTTCCTGGGTAAGGTGGCTGAGAGAGTGGTGGCTGAACAAATCCAGGCCTTCCTGGATGACACTTCCATCCTTGATACTTTCCAGTCCAGCTTCCACCCTGGCCATGGGACGGTTACAGCTCTGGTCGTCCTTACAGATGACCTCTGTAGACATCTGGATCAAGACGGGTCAGCACTGCTGTTATTAGATTTAATGGCAGCATTTGATACGGTTGATTGCGATCTTTTGCCCCACCGTCTTGCCGACGTAGGAGTTCAGGGGACTGCCTTGAAATGGTTTACCTCCTTTCTCCATGGCTGGGGACAGAGAGTGGTGCTGGGCGAGAGGGTCTCCCCACGGAATGTGAAGTGCCGCAGGGGGTGATCCTCTCTCCACTCTCCAATGTTATTTAATATCTGTATGTGCCCCCTCGCCCAGTTAGTCCAGAGTTATGGGCTGGGTTGCCATCAGTATGCTGATGACACTCAGCTCTGTTTTTTAATGGATGGTCACCCATTCTCCATTCCTGGAAATCTGACTGAGGCTTTGGACGCTGTGGCTGGATGGTTGCAGCAGAGTCGATTGAAGTTAAATCCATCGAAGATGGAGGTCCTGTACCTGGGTTGTGGGGGGTATGGAGGTGGGCACCAGGCTTCCCACACTGGAAGGAGCACCTTTGGTGCTGGCCCAGTCAGTGAAGAGCCTGGGAGTAACACTGGATGCCTTCTTATCTACAGAAGCCCAGTTTGCTGCAGTCGCAAGATCTGCATTCTTCCATCTTAGGCAGATCAGGCTACTGAAGCCCTATCTCTCCCCCCAGGACTTAGCTACAGTGACCCATGCAATGGTCACTTCCAGGCTTGATTACTGCAACTCACTATACGCAGGCTTACCCCTGAAGCTGATTTGGAAATTACAGCTGGTACAAAATGTGGCGGCGCACCTGCTGATGTCGACGCCTGTGCGGGCTCGTGTTCTGCATGTGCTTCACCAGCTTGTCAAGCTTCAGTTTCATTTCGCCTTGTTCCACTTCACTGCTAGCCATAATTTAAGGGGGAGGGAATTCCTGAGGGGAGTACATGGGTGTTTTGAGTGGATGCTTGTAGAAGCCATAACTTTCCTTAAGATTGCACTCCACCTCTGGTTCCCAAGGGAGCTGGCCTTGGAGACTCTTTTGCCAGGCCTGGACATAGATAAGGCCCCGTATATCTGTCAGGGTTGCCATAGCTACAATAGGGGCTGAGTGATGATGTATGTGAGAGGTGTATTTTGTATTATCTGTAATAGTGGCTTTTGCGTGCCTTTTTTTCCATTCTGACACGGAGCCTGTTTCCTAAAGTAAGCATATCTCAATAAACTACCACTGCTTAAGTGTGTTGTGGAGAATGTCTTAACGGGGGGACCTGACACAGCTGCATTGGTTGCCGGTTGAGTACCAGATCCGCTTCAAGGTGTTGGCAATCACCTTCAAAGCCTTATATGGCCTGGGACCAACATACCTAAGGGACAACCTCTTCCCATATACGCCTCAAAGAACATTACGCTCTGATAATCAGCGTCTCCTAGTGATCCCTGGCCCAAAGGATGTCCGCTTAGCCTTGGCCAGGGCTTTTTCTGCCCTGGCCCCCACCTGGTGGAGCATGCTCCCTATTGAGATCAGGCCCCTGTAGTATCTTATTCAATTCCGCAGGGCCTGCAAGACGGAGCTGTTCCACCAGGCTTTTGGCTGAGGCAGTGGGCGTCCACACATGCCCCCCCCCCCAAGGTTGCTGTCTCCCATGCACTGATAACCGGCCATACCTATCTACATCAATGGGCCATTCTCCCTACAGCAAGCTGTGGTTACTGATTCTGTATGTTTACAATGTGTTTTAAATTTTATTGCATTTATTGAAATGTTGAAACCCGCCCTGAGCTCATTTACGGGATGTGCAGGGTATAAATGCGAAAAATAAATATATAAATAAATAGAGAGAGAGAGCAAAACACATTGGGGGGGGGGAACCCTGAAGCAATAGGGACAAACGAGTGACAAAAATAACAGTACAGAAGTGGCCAAGGTGTGAGAGCTTCACTGTTCTTCTCATGGTTTGGGATGAGTGCAGGGAAACGTGAATTCCTTCCCTCTGTTACTGTATAGGCGGCCACTATATCCTGATGTGGCCAAGTATCTCAGGTTAGTTAGAAGCCCCTCTTCCCTTTTATTAGGGCCATCTGGCATCTCATCCTTTCCCAGGCTTTGTGTGTGTGGCTTCACTTCTGATTTTCTTGAGAGTAACTGTGTTCCAAGCCTGGGGCTTGATGTTTCTGGGGGAGCACAA